TATGTGAGTGTATATACACGTTAGGTTTTATCAGCCCCACAAAAACTGATCACGTTATAGATGCGCTTGTCCAAAATTGAGGTCAGAATGGACCGCTGCTCGCGTTAATCAACCAACGCATTGTCCGCGCGTGACTTTAACTACTACCTCTGTAAGGCTACGGGCGAGAGGAGGTTGCGGACACTGGTATATACCGAATATGGCCGAATGTCGGGGATAAATCCGGACTAAGTCTGAACTGAACGGAACTGCCAAACGCATCAACACTCATCCAGACAATAAAGGAGGATAATACGAATGAGAGGCCTCACCATATAATAGGAATGAATACAAGTTAAATGTATAATGAAAGGTGTACAAAGAGATGCGTTACGGCGTTAGATAATCTGTCTGGAAGGAGGGCGATGGTGTTAAATAATCGGTGGGGAATATAATGTACGTTGCAACTGCAGGCAAGGCTTTGGGAGCCGGAAGTCTCTGGAGGTGACACGTTGTCTGTTAGTGAGTTGCGGGAAAGGGATCGGCAGTTGAAAGGAAGGGGCACCGGTCATTTTCACTGACACGCTGGTTACGCCATCTCCATTCCAGATCCGCACGCAAAAAATTCCCAGTTCATTCAAACAACCCCATTCAGTTACCAGGACTCGCGACACTACACACAGGGGTGCTTGTGACAGACATGGACGTGGTCTCTATGTCATATCAGCCACAGCACCCAGCAGATGGTTGACAGGCTCTAGCAGCTGACTGGTGCATGGAAGAGGAGCAAAACAGTGAGGCCGACAGCGAGGCATCTATCCCCATGGAATATGAGCGCATTCCTCACCATACCCGATCCAACGCGCTGGGATCCGTCATGATGCACTACAGATCGTGGCTTCGATGGCTGCCAATTCAAGGAATACCTGACGAGGTCTTTATATCATTCTCACTGATATGAGATCCGAACCGACCCTGTGAAAGCCTGATAAATTCTGCGGGGACCAGGTCCTATGTGGCATGAGTAGACGATTTGTTTTGTCCTGTAGGCCACTACACCTGAGTCCACCTCCGGCAGGCCGTCCGGATCCTATTTTGTCGCAGGGTGAGGGAGCGCGATAGATACCGAGGAAGACTGCTATTTCGATAAACTAGTTCACGCGCAAGTCACTGTCATTGGGCAAACGATAGATGTCATTACTGGCAAAGGT